CTTCGTATCCTGCGGCTATGGCGAGTAAAATTTGGGACGACAAGATATTTCCACCACCATCGTCCCCAGAAAGATTCAAGAAACTGAAATCGAAATATCAAGGACAAGCTGTATATATAAAGATTCGCCTTGATGAGCTGAGCAAGGCGCTGTTTTCGGATTCAAAATATACTTATTCCGAAGGAAGTTATGGCGAGTAGAATTTAAAAACGCGTGAATTTTTCCAAAATTCACCAACGCTTCTATCTCCTTTGGAAAAAAATCTGAGCCTACTTTTTGACACACAATAATCGACAAGAACAGTATTATAGAATAGTACCTAGTAAAGTCTTCTATGGTAGGCGTTGCTTCACATATTCGCGAAAGGACTTCCGCAGAACAAATTGAAAAAACTGGAAACGGAATATCGAAGACATCGTACCCCCACTTCCAATATATCAGAAGATTCTACGCGGCGAGCTGAATCGAATGGTGGCTTTGGATTCAGAATTCGTCCACTCTGAAGCGAGATATGGCCACGCGGCGGTAATGTCCATACATGTCCATACGTTTGCGTCTATTTTTCAAAAAATGTGAGCGGTATTGTATATAAAGCTGAATGTGTGTTTCTGTGTCTGTACGTATGTGCGGAATAGAAATTTTTATGTCTGGACAGATTTGGATCAAACTTGGCACACATATACTTCGGGGTAGGGGGCGTTCGTACTTTTGCTATCGATCGATGTCGATGATTTTATCGACCACCTAGGAAACTGGGAATTGGCAGGGGGGGGGGAAGGGTTAATGAGCGTGCTGACTACGAATACAATATTATTTTTCAGAATTGTCGATTAATTTTATTGATTTTTTCAATTTTTTGCGAAGTTCAAGCTACGGGGCTGGGGGTAAGTGGGCACGCTGATTTCGAAAACAACACAGACGGGAAATCAAGTGTAAAAGTGGGCACAGGGAAGGGCTGTATAGAGATAGGAATGGGACCTTTATTCAATGTTTTGACAAGGTCGGGCGCAGCCGGGTAAGCTAGCTAGAAGTATATAGTGTTGCAGGGTATCGTCGAGACGCTGCGAGATCTACGACCAGATTCAAATGCCTCGTTGGCTCTGGTCTTTGCTCGTCTGCGTATCCGCGCGTTGTGCGCTATCTCGCTACCCCAGACGCGGAGCACTGGGCATTTGGCTCCAGTACCCTTCTTTTCGTTGTTATAGAACCAGTTTTTATCGATTTGTAAGCATTTTGAAGTTTTTGATCACTACTTTCATGTCGATAACGCCCCAAACCTCTATTTTGGATTTGAAGGAAAAACCTGGCAAAAGCCGTGTTTTCAAAAAGATCTTGTTTTTTTTCTAGTTCATCTCTTTTCGCGCGGTTTTTTCGTGCATTTGATAAACCTTTCCAGTATATAATGTAGACAATCTCTCAGAGCTTACTTCTTCGATAATGCCGGACATTTTCGTAAAAATCTGTAAAAGTGTGTTTTTCTTTACCTTGTTCTCTTTTGGTGCTTTGGCAGCGTTTTTTTCTAACTTGGGCGATTATTGCTCAGAATAACGAGCGCAACAATCCAAACAGCGTCCCAGAAAAAAGACGCAAAGACTCGGCTGTTTCCGACGTGAACCTCGATTAAGTAAAATCAAAATATTGCGTTTTCATAACATAATCCTTTCCTTGTTTATATTCTTTCTGAGAATTACCACTTTCGAAACACGATATATTTGAAACAATTACAGAGAAGAAATTAAGTTCTCCTCATTTCCCCCCGTGCTGTGGATTTCCTGATATCGAGGTGAAAATCTGCACTCCGGAATGCCGCCAAATGGAAAACATCAGAATCATTGCCGCGTTTTTATAAGGTTTTTAGCAGTGGCGTACCCAGGATTTCGGCTCGGGGGGGGGGGGGCAACAAAAATTTTTTCCTAATGAGGGTGCGTGGCGTCAGCCACGCCTTCGAAAAAAATTTTTCATAATTTCCGAAACTTCAAAAAATACTTTAATCATTTACCAGTATGAACAAGTCATTTACACAATTTTATACCTCATGTAAGTGACTTTCAGATTCGCGACCCGTTCTCAGAGGGGAACAACGCCCTTCCCTCCCCCCCCCCTCTCGCTACGCCACTAATTTTTAAGTGTTTGTTTTGTTTTTGCTATCTGTTTTGCATCTTTTTTCTTCTCCGATTTCCCATAAACAACATTCACTTTTTATGATTTGCATATATTCAAACAACTTTCGCTTTAAACGTCCTGTGTCTAAACTACCGCATGTATGAGGTAAAGTCACTGGTGTAAGGTAGGATGCAAAAGATGATCAAGGTCTGGAAGTAATTCATATTCGTGGATAACTTCCAGATCACTTCTAGCTTTAGTGCGCGTTTTGCAGGATTTCCTTCCTCCTAGCGCTCTGGATTATGTACAGTGCTGGGAGTTGTGGCCTTAGATATTTGTTTATTTAACTACCCGTTCGCTCATTTACTTAATTGCTTAGCCGTATACAGGCCGTAAGTTCAATAAAAGCTGAGGAAGGACACCTACTCCAAAGGCAAAAAAAAACATTCTCATAAGAAGGAAAGTTCATAAAGGATATTTAGCACTAGAACAATAATTCCGGAGAAATCTCAATGACTAGATGTCAATAATCTTGAAACAGTTCGCTGGAGTAAACTTTTGACACATAGCCACTTGTTGGCAATGATTTTGCATTTAGTATAATCCCTCTTCCTTTCTATCATAGTCGTAGGTTGTTCGAGGACTTCTGCCTATTAAGATTGGACTACCCTGTTTTTCCATATATACACGTCAAAAGTATGTTTTACTGTACTCGCTATGTGTACTGGCAACCCAGGCTATTGGAACATGTCGCGGATGTCGTTTTCTCAGAAGCTCGATGGCTGCATTACGATACGACCTAGCCAAAAGCTTTGGACGTTTGAAACAAAAGTACATCTTGCTTGGAAGAATTCAAGCATGGGAGCAGATTCGGACGTCGCTAGACTTAAGTATACGAAGGTGTATTGCACAGTTTCTTGATCAAGCTGCTGCGAGTCCTGCAGCTTCTCAACTTACTATTTCGTTAGGATTTCTTCGATTTGCGTGTCTCGCGGATATGACTATCTCATAACAAAGCCACGATACAATAGATGTATAACATTTTTATCCAAATCTAACACATCCTACACTCATTCTACAAAACGCCTTTCCTCACCTTGTATTCTATGATAATAATTTACCTGGCTTTTCACCTGCCAGGGACGTGGGCCAGCTTACCTATCTGACTCACAAGGGAGCCATGTTAAGCAAGTGGCTTTTTTAGATGGGATGTACACCATTTAAAGAGATATTTATGGACGAAAAGTTATAAGCGTTTATTGAAGTAAAAAACTAAACGTGAATTTAGGGTAGAATGAGTTTTAAAGATTTTACCAGCTTTCAGAAGCAACAAAGTGTGATATATTTTTTTGTCTGAGAGTACCCATTGTATACATTTCTCTGGTAATCCTCACTGCGCTAGAAAAATATTACGAGAGTTTTTTGTCTTAGCACATGTAATTTTCGTTCTAATAAAAGCTCATAACTTTTCGCTCATAAATGGTTTGCAGGTAAGAAAGGTAGATTTGAAATCATTGTTTTACGCTCTCCAATAGCTACAAATTCCATTCAAAAAAGCCACTTCGATTAAATATGGTTCCCTTGTAAGTCCTTTTTCTCCTCAGCTTCCTCTTTAAGCCTTGACTTCTCAAAAGAAAGACAAACACTGATAAAGCATCGTCCACTCAGATTCTTGACTTCCATGTTTTGGCCTTCTCATGCCCTGATTTTCGAATATGAAGTCGAGAATCCGCGAAAACCCCAACTTTCCCCATTTCGGAGAACCCGCACCTGCTTTCCGGAACGGTGATTGGCTGGGCGCGCACGGATGGGCGGGCATGGATGGGGAGGGCGGTGCCGTCTGGGGATCCTCGTGCATCTTCGTTATTCCGGAGCGATTTTTTCGCTTCCGAAGCGACATTTTGCGCTGCACTTGAGCATTGGCTTTACAAGGAACCTTACTATCCTATGCTACCAAAAAGTCAAACCCCTCAACTTAGGGTGGACGGTGCCTTTGAGCCTGAGAATGGCGAGCGGTCATCAGATAAACCATGAATCAAGGGAGGGATCATGAAATATTATCTTTCAGTGCCTTTCGCGTCCTAATTGCTTATCCTTGCGATGTTATGTGCCGCATACATTAAAGTCTCCAATCTGCGTGTTTGTAGCTGGCATTACCCACATCAAGAACACATCTCAAACCAATGTCTTACGTTTGCATTTGATTTTGCTTCTATAAAAAAGATTGACAAAATTTGCAATCAACCTAGTTTTTCAGGGAGTAAGTAATTCTATAAATCACTTTCCTCTCCATCACACTATTTCTTGATCCATGATTTTAGCATAGTCAGCACTGAGAATTTAAGGACTAACAAGCGTCGCAACAGAACAACACGAACTACTTTCAACTCGTTATTAATTGCGCTGTAATGGCATGATCGTTTCCATTCATCCTTTAATCTCTAAGAACCGTTGCAACTGTAATCATCTCTTGTAATATCTAAATCCTTCAAGCCTCTGAGCCTGTACAATATGGCCACAAATCTCTAAGCTTGTCATTCCATGTAATATCTCCTCGAGTGCGTTGATTTATTCGAAATCCACTCATGTATACTTATAAACGAATCGTTCATCCTTATTATTAACGTGTGAATGAGGCCGCCGGACGGGTTTACACTCAATAAGAAGCGTAACGAATGGCACTCATCGTTGTGTTTTTTCTGATGATGCTGTTCTGATTTGAGAAACTCGTCCATCCGTTTTAACAACATAAAAGGGAGCAGCTTGATTGGCATGTGATCCAAATTCATTACTCACGACATCATTCAAAGCTGACTTCAGTTCACCCTGTGTTCCGCTCCATTTGATCTCTCAGTTCAGAATGTTGATTTCATTGCTATTGCTAAAACAGAATTTTAGGGCAAGATGGGTGCACGGACGTTGTGGCATATTTTGGCAATGACAATCTCAGGTAACATTTCTGTGCTACAGTAAATTGTAGTAGTTAGATGTGCAGTAGGTCACACCAACGTTTATTCGGTCTCATTAATGTAGGTTCAATAAGGTTTTGTGACAACTAGCTTATATTAGATCAGCGCATATCATACGAGCGAGAAAAATCGTTATAGTTTTTTCATTTGAAATTTCGCTTAAGGCTTCCAACAAATCAACCAAAAATCAGTCAAGTGTCCTTTTCACCTCCTCGAGAACCCTACACTAATCTTTAGTAGTTATTAGGTTGGCCTAAAAGCACTGATAAAAAATAGAAAAAAAGACCATATAAACTTTGTTCATTTTAACTTAAATCGCCAAAAATCGGGAATGTAACCCCCTCGCTATAACCCCAACACGAACGAAAATTATCATACAGCAGTACCGTTTCCGCCTTGATTACGGTTGTTTACAAAAACGTTTTTCTCTCTCATAAGCTGAGTTTGAATCTGCTTTCTGATTAGACACATATCTGATTTACGAGAAGTGATGGCGATCCTGCAAGTTTTGCGGATCAGGTAGCTGTTTTGTATTTGAAATTCAAATATCCCGCAAATTTCCGCGAAAATGGACATATTCCGTAGAAGTAATGTAATCAGTTGTAGTCTTCTTCCAAGTTGCCAATTTTAAATAAAACTAGCTTTTTTTACAGTTGTTGAGAAGCGTACTCTATAATGGGCTACTTTCTTCATGTGCCCAGGAAAAAAGATACGAAGTGGCAAAATTTTCGACTCACATTTGGATGCTGCCGTTGAATTTCTGGGAGAGCCATGGACTAGTATGGTGAAAGTTCGGTTCTCCCTGAATCTTGGCATTGTTCTGACTTTTTGATATAGTAGCTGAGCTTGATCAAGGTCGGCATTACGACTTTATTGGCTGGCGTCGAAGTTTCTAAGCCTTCTTCAAAACGTGAAAAGAAAAAATGTAATTTTTCATTTAATTAAACTCAAGTACCAGGGACAAAATAAACGCGAGAAGATCACCCAAAGACACACTATTAGAGCCAAATGTAGAGAGAATAGACCACCTTGCGCAAAACTGTGCCTCCAACCTTTATTTTTCCTGACACTCACGTCTGAATGAATAGTCAATTACATCTATAACTTGACCTTTCCAGACTCCGAAGAAGGCGTAGATTGCCGAAACGTAGACTCAGCCAATAAAGTTATAACAGCATTCCTTATCAAGCTCAGCAAACCGCGTCCGGGAGTCATGAACTTTTTTCGGCTAATTTGTATAACCTATATTTCAATGTCGTACTGGCCGTACTGAATTCTTTCTCCAAGAAACAGTTGAAACGAATTTTTTTACGAAAAGCACCACCATTCTCATGGCATCGTTTCTGTGCAGACGTCAATAAGAATAAAAAAGCTCATAATGTCTTCCAGTAGGAAATTATCAGCATCAAACACCTGTCCAACATTCCAAATTGCCTTCAACTTTTTTGTTCAACTCTCTTGCAATAATCAGCATTCTTGTTGAATCACAATGTGTTCGGAAGATATGTTTGAAGCGCGATCGCGTTTTGATTTGTCATTCTCAAAAAAACCGCAAGTAATGTAAGCTAAAAAAAGTGTAGTTCCATTCTTTGAGATGATAATGCAATTAGCTAAAGAAAATATGAAGTATATTGAAACTCAGGAAGAAGCAACCAGAACAGACATGTTTTTTGCATTCTTAAATAAGCAAAAGTATCTCGTGATCTGAGACCATGATTGAAAATGACACGCCGTTTATCGTGCACAAGCTACCATTTGATTCAACTGGCTTCGGCAAAGGCGGGGCTTCGTGACCTAATTAAGGCTAGGTAATGACAGAGAGCAGTAGCGCGAGAGAGACGCAGGTGCGTCGCGGGCGCGAGCGGCCTCAATTAGATCATGAAACCCCGCCCTAACGGAGCCAAGCCAGTTGAATCAAAAGTTACAGCGGACGATGTGACCAATGATGATGCACAACTTGACTATATTTTTACATGTTTTTGGACCATGTAGCCCATACTTGAGGATTACGACCACAACATCTATATGAACCAGTGCACTCGCAGGATTCAGAGGGGGGGGGGGGTAGGAAGACGTGACAATAATTTTTTTTAGAAAAACTGCATGGACTAAAAATTGACCACGTGCTCGGAAAATTCTCTCGGGTGCTTCCCAAATTGCGGCCCCATAACCCCGAAAGTTTGGAAAAGGGGGATGCCGGTATTTAAACTCCTGAAAAAATTTCTCTAATTTGAATTTTCGAGAGTCAAAATGATTTGATTATTTACAAGTATAAGTAAGCCACTTGGTCAAATACACCTCATGTCATTAGTTTCCAAACAATTCGTGATTCATTTTCGGGAAATGGGGAGGGGAAAGGCTTGCCTCCTCGGTCCGCCACTGATATAGAGCTCTGCAAAGCCTCTAGAAAAGCTTTCACAAGTTCTCATAACGAAACTTTTCGGAGGCATCGAAAATACCCCAACTCCTCAATGAATTATTATGAAATGAAGTATTTTAAAGGCTCTTCTTTAAACTCGGAAACGGACATGCTCATTTTTTTTCAATCCGGTGTTTGCAATCAAATTCTGACCATTAATTTGTAAATACTTCAAGGTTTCAGTTGTATCGGCCATCGACCCACAACATCAAGTAACAGCGACAGCACCAAACCCAAAAAGAATTGCCGTCATTGGGGAAGGCGTGATTGGATTGTCAACGGCGTTAGCGATAAAAGAGCATGACCCAGCAGCACAGGTTAGTGTTTTTCTAGACTTGGTTCCAGTTGCAAACGTCCTTCGACTTTCATCTTCGGGTTTAAAATATGAGTGGTTTGTGTGATTGGTGCAATACTTGATGGTTTCTAGGGGCAGTGATTTTTGGCAAGATTGGTATTATCGAGTTTTTGTATTTATGGGAAAAATTTTTTGGAACTGGCTCACAAACATCTTATCTTTAAATTTTTTTCTCCAACCGAACCCCGCTCAATTTGCCTAGAGCCATTTGTGAATTTATGTGTTGACTTTGCACAACGCGCACTTCACTTCATCTCTTCTTGCTTGTAAACCCTCATTAAAATGAATTATTTCCTAAAAATCCTTCTTCGTACTTACTTATTCTTTCAAAAAGTGAAAACAGCAAAATTGTCCAGACACCGGCAAATTCTAATCTGCTTTCATAGTCGCTCCTACCAGCGCCATGTTATAGCCGTGCCCCGGACGTCGACTGATTGATGGTGCGATTACATGCGAACTCGGCAAGGCGCTAGCACGTGCTGAAACGGGGCTGGCACGGGCAACTCCGCGCAGCATTGAAAACAAGTTGTGAGAGGCTGAAGACATTTTTAAAAAGTCAATGTTTCTGAAAGTCATATACACATGCGCGCAGTAAAATAGAAAAGAAAATGATTTTTAGCTATTCAAAATGGCTATTAAAACGTGTTTGCTGCTGAGACAAGTTGAGAAAGAATTTGTTAGGCTCTAGCAATAAAAGCCCGTCAAAGTACAGGGGCCTGCAGGATCGCGAGAGTCGGACGTGCGTAGGGCCATTGCGCCGCGCACGTCTGATGTCACTAAGGTAGGTGCCGGACTTATCCGCTTCTTCCGGTTCGTTGGTTCATAGGTCAAATCACTACACTGTCCACCAGAAAAGGTGGTGAACAGAATGAACCTGTTGAACAGGATAAGTCTTGCAGCTACCTGAGTCGTCGGACGCATCTGACGTGCGCGGTGCAATGGCCGTACGCGCGTCCGACTCTCGCGATCCTGCAGGCCCCTACAAAGATCCATCCTTTTCAGATTACAATATTCCATGATCGTCCGTTTGAAAACATCCTTAGTAGAGGGATAGCAGGTCTTTTTAGAATCGACGAGCCGACACCGATACAAAGGTAAACTAGAAGACATTATACAAAAAATTCATATAATTATTAAAACAAATGTTAGGTTATACGGCAATGAGACCTTCACTCATCTTGCCCAATTATGGCGAAACGTGGGTGGCGTGAGTGGTGTACAACTCCTTTCTGGACATATTCTGTCAGAAGATAGGAATCTACTCATAGACCAGGTAAACGGAACAAAAGGACTTGCTTTTAACTCCTAGGCTCCTAAATCGCTAATCTTTTTGAGGAGCGAGCATATGCAGATATTGTCTACAACTTCCGATTTTTGTCGGACGACGAGAAAAGATCACAATTTTCAGGCAATAACCTCGAGTGAGTTTTTTTGCTCTGTAAGCTACGACTACATTGTTGCGCACTGCATCGAATCAATCGTAAAATGGAACCTCACCTAATTTTTTCCATCAGGGAGTCATCCGCCATTCACTATACGGCGTTCACGTCCGAAGGTGCTAAATATTGCCCTTGGATGAAGAACCAGTTGGTGGACAAAGGCGTCCTCTTCGTTCTGAGGAAAATCAACAACCTTGATGAGGTATAACAATATCCAGTTTTGACGGGAATATCTTATTGTCAGAGGACCTCAGTGTTGAGCAAAATACAGCGCAGCTATTGAACTTGAGAAAAATCTCAGCGGGACTACGAGAAGTTGAGAAGTGAATTCGAAGGGACCACAACCGAGCTAAGGGAGGCTGTCACTAAAACTGGGGTTGTACTGATAATAATAGTTGATTTTTGATTTTTATTTTGACAGTTTGTGAATAACACGATAAATACAAATGCATAAGTTCAATTGATTGATGGAATACAGCTTTACAGATGCTATATGGAAGGCTTACAGGCAACAACTTGCATTCGATGAATTAAGCTTAGATGTTTTTTCTCTTTTCAAAGTAGAAGAATACTGAAACAAACTTCTAATTTATTCCCAAAGCAATTCCTGAAATTTGTTCAGTAATGTTTTCGAATTTCCGTTCCTTTGTAAATTCAATTTATTGTGTCTGCGCTGGGCATTACCAATGCGAAAAATTCACCAGATGACTGCAAATACTATTAGGTTGTCCCAAAAGTAAACTCCATTTTCAAATAAATTAAGCCGTTTTGTTCTCCTAACGGACTTAAGGTACCATTCGATAGAACGAAGCAAGCTCTACAAAAAGATCACCAAAGATCCACCTAAGTCGTAATCGAGGTAAAATTTGGGGCCAAAAATCAAAACTTTTCAGCTATCCTAGACATCGGATCTCTTTCCAGGGAATTTCTACGGACTTCCAAATTGGTCTTCATATAGCAGACACATAATAGTACCAAAAATGTATTTGGCGGATTTTTTCCGGTGCTCAAAATTGAGAAAAAAAAGATGGTCCGAAAATGCCAAAACGCCCTTTTTCGGTTTTTTTTTATAAAACTTATTATTTCTCAAATATAAGAGCACATGCAGGGGTAAGGTTTTGGAATTATACTTAGTAAGGCGTGTAGTATGCAAAGACATATGTGGGAGGGACTGGGGGCGGAGTTTGCCATTTCTGGAGAACCTTTCTTTCTCGCTTTCTATGCTCGGAAAAAATTCGGTAAAGGCATATTTGAGTACTACTATGTGCCTACTATATAATGACCAAGTTGGAAGTCTGTAGGATTCTTGACCACAGAAATCCAATTTTCTTGTGACAAAATTTTTTTCCGATTTTTGCTTCAATCTTTCCACGAAATGCGGCTTAGGTGGATTCTTGGTAGTTATTTTGTAGAGCTTGATCTGCTCTATCGCTTGATACCCTAAGCTTACTGGGAAAACAAAAACAGCTTGAATTATTTGAAAAAGGAGTTTACTTTTGGGACAATCTATACTTTTCACTGGTTCTATGTTTAAGGAAATTCTATTGCCGCTCACCATCGTTATGCTCTAAAGGCAAGCATCTCCCTGATCTAGAAGTTGTCAGGTCTTACAGTGCTGTTTTCGTCTTTACAGACCACGATAATGATTCTGGAGTTATGCTTCCGCTAATTTTTATCTCTTTTACCATTGCATGTGCTACGTTAGCATGGAACTGAGGAGTTTATTGACATTATTGTGTCTTCCTCGATTTTGCTCAAATATTTCAGCTTTTAATTCTGCTGTAACCTGTCAGAAAAAAACAAATTAACTGTGGTACTTTTTCCAAATTATTGACATATGAATATCACTGCGCATTTTGATTCAGCTCGGAGACGAAGGATACGATGTCGTTGTGAACTGTGCCGGTCTCGAAGGTGGGCGACTTGCGGGAATACCAGAGGATACATTTCCAATTCGCGGCATTCTGCTCAAAGTCGATGCTCCATGGCACAAACACTTCCTCTTCAGAAACTTCACTACATTCACCATACCCACGTAAGTAGCCATATAGTATATTTGTCATGAAGCAGAATTCAGGATCGATGCGGTCTATGTCGGTACTGTCAAGGAACTGAACAGAGACAACATGACACTGACCGGAGAAGAAAAGGATGCACTATGGTGTCGTTACCTTAACCTACAGCCTGCATTCAAGGTTAATAGCAGTGATATTTTAAATTTATTCAGCTCGACGCTTGACGCTCGATGTTTAGGACGTTAGGGTGCTAGACACCTTTGTAGGCCTCCGCCCAGGACGTTCTGATATCAGAGTTGAGGCTGAAAGGAGAACAACTAGTAATGGAAGGTCCTATAAGGTAAGTCTTGATTCCGTTCAACCGCAAGAATTGTCCAGAAAGGTTTTTTATAGGTGGTACACAATTACGGACACGGAGGTAGCGGTTTTACTCTCGGTTGGGGTTCAGCTCTTCATGCCACGGCCTTAGTGTACGACCTACCTACAGACCAATACGATGAAGCAATGCAAGAAACTATCGCTTTGAGAGAACTAACGGTGAAAACTGTCAGAAACGAGGTAGCTAAAGCTGAAGTAGAGAAAAGTGAAATTGCAAAAACTCGTGCAGTTCGTTCTTACTCAAAGTAAGCAGAAAATCAAGAAAGCGTTATCTTGATGTAAAAATTATCTATGAGCAATATATGAGGACCTGTATTATATATAACTTTGCATTAACCTTATTGTTGCAAATATGTTTAAATAAAACTTAAAGATGTGCTCTGCTATTTAGGAATAGTAGAAGAAATTAATTCACAGAATAGTAGAAAAAAGAAGTGCTGCAAAAATTAATCGACGAAATTCTTGATTAGCTCTCGCGGATTGCTGGGTACTATACTGTAGGACTGGCTTCAACTTACTTGTTAGATATACAGTAGGAGACCGATCTCTCCTCATTACCCTGTAATTACGGTAACAGAAGGGGTTTTGCACCGTGAAAGCCTATAATACAGTGGCGTACCAAGGAGGGTGGGATGGGGGGGGGGTGGCCTCCCCCTCTTCCGAGAACGGGTCGCGAATTTTTGTCACTTATAGGGATTTTAAAATTGTGCAAATGACATGTTTGCACTTGTAAATAATTAAAATAATTTTTGAAATTTTTGAAAAATTCATTTTAGCCTTATAAAAAAAGTTTTTCCAGGGGCGTAGCTGACGCCACGCCCCCTTTTTCAGAAATTTCGGGGTTCTGAGCCCGCGAAAATTTTAGGGAGCACACCAAAAAAATTTCCGGAGTGCGTGGCTGACGCTATCATCTTCATCGGAAATAAAATTTTGTCTCCCCCCCCCCCCCCTTCCCCGAGCCATCCTGGGTACACCACTACTACAATATTTTTGAAAACGCCGCAGCAAGACTGAAATTTTGCGCTACAATGTTCGCCGATCAAATGTTCTCCAAAATGGAACACCATCATGGAAAGATATAGTTTTTTTTCATGATTGAAACATGAGGATATATTCTCAAACTAACCGATGCATTATGGCAACATGTTTTTACCCTACTTTTTACTCTAAAACAAGGATAGAAACATAAAGAAGTGTCCATGTCTACTTTGATGAAGAAAGCGGGTTTAAATTTTGAGAAACTAAGAATCGTAGAATATACTTCTCGACAGAGAATGAAGTTTAGATTTTCCAAAAATCTATACTGGCGTGCTCTTTTAACACTGATCTGCATGTTGTCCATGAGTTTAGTACGTAGTAAAAATCAAAAAAGCTAGTATCTGGAAATATAAGCGCAGGATGAGCTTGATATGGCCCAAAAAGGCCCTAGCACAATTAAATTTTGTCAGAATGCGACAGTGTTATGATAGACATATGGCTTATTTACATACGGTTAAAGTGCTTCTGTGCCAAACAGGTTTGTTAGGCATTATCCTTCCTCAGACGCCTGAAAATAGCCTCGAAGCGATACCTGCAAAATGAAACCATCAAGTATAACTCATACCTTCGATAGTCTAGAGACAGGGCGCCAAAAGTGAAGGTTGTTTGAACATCTGACGTCATAAATAGTGAAGGTTGTTTAAAGAAGATCAGAGAAGAAAAAATGACGTAAAATAGATATAAAAAGCAAGAGAAACTGCTGAAAACCAGAAAAAAATGCTGCAACAAGGTTTGAAATCTTTCGTTTGGCTGCTTTTTAAAGTGCAAGTTTTCGCTTCAAGACCAGCAATTCGCAACACGGGGTTTTGATTTTTGATGCGTCCTTTGAATTTTTACCCTCGCGCCGTCCCTTTTGTACCCTGCGACGTTGTCTGGATTCTTCCGCTCATCATTCTGAGCAAGTATCGTCCAAGCTGGAGAAAATTCCTTGCGAAACCACTGAAAAAGAATAAGGTAAAGAAAAACGCATTTTTTTGTAATTTTCACAAAAAAACCGGCATAAGCAGAGAAATAAGCTCGGCGACGTTGTCTACATTATAGACAGAAACAAGACCTATCGACTACACAAAAAACTGCGTGAAAAGGGTCAAACTAGGAGAAAAACGAGAGATTTTCGAAAACAAGGTTTTTGCCGGATTTCTCGTTTAAATCATAAAAAGAAGTCTTGCGACGTTGTCAGCGTGAAAATAGAGATCAAGAGCTTCAAAATGATATATAGCTTGCTAAAATTGGGTTCGAAACAGCGAAGAAAAGGGTACCAGAGCCAAATGCCCCGCGCCCCGCGTTTGGGGTAGCGAGATAGCGCGCAGCGCGCGGAGACGCAGACGAGCAGCGGAGACAGACCAGAGCCGGCGGGGCATTTGGCTCTGGTCATTCATCTCTGAGGGCTCATAACGAAACCCTACAACATTATATATCGTTGTGCTCCTCATGAGACGGCCAGGAGCACTGACAACGTCGCAGGTCTTGAAAATCACTCCATAACGAGATAGACCAGCATTTATGTGGCGACTCTCTGCGCAAGATTTCAGCGCAGTATCTCGTTTTTATTGAATTCCATCGGCTTTCATGAACCTCCAACGCTCAATCGCAATCTACAGAAAGGTTAATTGATAAGTTTCATCCTAATTTCTAACTGAATTTTTGAAGAAAAACCTTCTTTTCAGCAAAAAAAAAACATAAAAACGCGATCCTTCGGTTTTTTTTTGAACTTTTCTGGATGTCACTACTATATTTGCCTCATTCACATTCATCCTTACATAGTTAGTCATTATATCATAATATCCGGGCTTCGCCCCGGATGACTTCTGTATTCCTCTCCAGGTGAAGGTTGTGTCCTCTCATGACACTCAAAGTGAAGGTTACCAGAGTACGTGGCTCTATGTATCGAAGGTATGGTATAACTCCATTTCTGATAATTCACAACCTTCGTTGGACATCCCTACCGTAAAAATTGCTATGCCAGAATATGGACATACTCTGTGAAAACCACTATGTGGGATTTTGCACCAGAACTGATGGTCTTGGCCGATGGAATGGACGTCATATACATCTACACAGCAGTGGCGTACCGAGGGGCGCCCCCCCCCCCCCCGAGAACGGGTCGCGAACTTTTTGAAAGTTAATTACATGAGTTATAAAAATGTGCAAGTGACTTATTTATACTTGTAAGTAATTGAAATAATTTTTTAAATTTTTTAAAAATTCAATTTAGCCTTATAAAAAATTTTTTCGGGGGCGTGGCTGACGCCCGCCCCCTTTTTCCAAAATTTTAGGGCTATGGGCCCCGAAAAATTTGAGGAGAATACCAAAGAATTTTTCTGGGTGCGTGGCTAACGCCACGTACCTTCTTCAGATCCCCCCTCCCCGAGCGGAAATCCTGGGTACGCCACTGCTACAGAGACATGAAGGGAAGTTTGTGATTGACAACCAATCAATTTTAATGTTTTTTGTCAATTACCGCAGACTTCCCTCCCTTCATATCTCTGTGTAGACTGACTCTATATAACGTCCATCTCATCCGTCAAGAACACTACTTCCGACGCGGAACTCCACATAGCTGTTCACAGGATTTGTTCACCCTCTCACATAGCAATTTTCAAAGTAGGATTGTTGATCGAAGGCTACGCAGAACGCTTTAAGCCATTTTCAGGCCTCTGAGGAAAATGAAAGGCGTGGAAACGTTAGGTCGTGACTGGAAATAAAGAACACCTAACAAGTCCTGTTTGGCAAAGAAGCACTTTATTCATACGAATTATGCCCAGTTTTATAGAAAGTCGTTTAAATCATTAAAAGGCCTATTTACAGCTTTCAAATGTCAGATGCGGCGATAGGATACGACCGTAGACAATCGGCTCTACTTGCTGAGATACATTCTTGATTGCTGCATCCATTCATGTTGTTTGTTATCTCCTTTTCCCTTTTCGGATTAAATATCATTGAACTTCTATTGTTCCGACTTACTTGTGTTCCCCATATTGGTCTAGTTCAAGAAAATAGTATACAGTGTCCCAAAATTACGTATACACTGTTTGATCATTGATATCTCTTTCGAAGAAGTCTTTTCCCTGAATTCGGATACCATGCTGTAAAGCTGGCTCCAACTTAGATATACAGTATGGAGCAAGCCATCTATCGCTAGCCATCGCTCTTTATTAGGATAAGATAACGGTAGGAATTTGGCTTACAGCGTCATTGCAAGTTAGCCCTGTTTCGAAAGAAGTTTCCACAAATCCTAAATGTGGGGCATCGGAGAAATTACGCGCTGAATTCCTCAAGTTTTTAAGAGTTTGTAAAGTTTTTAAATGATGTAATCATGTGAAGTTTTGCAAATGGTGTAATCACAATTTTGATGTACAGTGAAAAAGGAAAAGGCAAGGGTTTCTAAGTTTGATTTTAGATAAACTTAGAAAACTAAAGATGCCAAGGCACTTTAGAGAACTTACAAGAAGCTAACAAGGGAGTCCATTTAGTGGAAATAGCATTTTTGAATAAGTTTTTTATGGTTTCAAAGAGCATTAAACGCTGATTCCAAATCTGTTTTCATTATCTGTCAAGCGCCTTTGGAAGCCGATTTATGTGTTTTCTGGAGCAGAAAATGAGCGCAGAATACAGCTAAAATCAACCAATACGGTCTTTTCTGCGCCCAAGTAGAGCAGTGTTCAGTGTGAGTGTATCACGGAATCATCTATTGAATAAAGTGCTCGGATAACACTGAATCATTTGAGCAAAACTAAACGAATGTCGCTCTCAATTTTACATCCCAAAAACGCTCATAACTCGTTGTCTAGAAAAGTTTGCCAGATAACAAAGACAGATGCGGAACCATGTTTCATTGATCCTCAAAGTAGTGTAAGAGTCACATAAAACGACCACTTCGATCAAACGAATTCCCCTTGTGAGTAATTTGAGCTTCTTATCTATTAGGTTGCTGCGTAGGTTCTGTCCAATTTTAATTTTTTGAGTTCAAAATGTCATAACTTCCTTCAAAGTCAACTTTTTCCCAAGATCTTAGTTTTCGCGTGTTGAGCAAATCCTTGGCTATCAGATTTATATTGAAACCTACGAATGTGTGCATGCCTATTTACGAATTTTGAAAATTTTGCAGTTGACGTGAGCACCGAAATGTGAGATTGGTGGATGATCTCTGCTAGCCCTTGCTTTACCCTTGCCCTCCAACTTTGGAAGTCGATTACTTCTATTCGCAGGAGGTTATTGCTTGTAAAACATCTACACAGAAAATTAATGTCTGACAATAAAGTTTACTAGCAAGACGTTTTCTTCATGAAACTGAACTTATGCGTATGCTAGCCTGTTACACCCTTATTCCGCAACCAATATTGTGGAGGTTTCCCCGCAAAAACATATTTCTAGGGTGACAACGTACCTCGACCACTTGGAGATTTTAGGCCTGAAATCTCCTTACACTAAGAAATTCGTTGAGATTTGATATGCATTTCTTTCACTTTCTGATGATACTAACAATACCGCATTAGAGATGAAATTCTCTTAGAACAGCTGCCTCAAAAATAAGGCAGAAAAAATTGGACAGAACTTATGCAACAGCCTAATATAATGAAACATTCAAAAAACAGGCTCTCAGTGGAAAGTATCCGACTGACTAGTACCTTTCTGAGAGGGCAAACCGACCTCTCTTGTCTTTATTGTCATCCAACAATTTTGCTTTCTTCGAAGTTACTAAAACTTCGAAGAGCTTAGCTTCCTTTGGCATACGCGCTCATGCGCAACAAAACGTATGAAAAAGTGTTTGAAAAAATCCACTGCCAGCTGTATTCAATTAACCCGAAAATGGCTCCATCAGGGCTCATAGTTGACTGCGAAATAGCGGCAATTAGGGCAGCCGAAAGATGTTTTCATTCCTCATCAGTGGAGGGATGTCTTTTTCACCTCAATCGTGCTTGGAGTAGGCACAGGAACTCATTGGGACTAACAAAATACTTGAAGGGGAAATATGAAAGCCGCCACGTCAAGAAATGTTATAGAAACATTAGGGGAATCCCATTTGTGCTAAAGAAATACTTGCGCAAGTTACCGGGATTGTACCGACCAAGCGTCAATAGGGATCATCCGGCTTACGAAATTTGCGAGAAATTTCTCGATTATTTATTCCAAACATGGTTGAAGAAGCCATCCCGGAAGCACTGGTCGAAGTGGGACGTATCAAGCTTGAGAACCACCAATATCGCAGTGGCATACCACAGGTTGGTGGAGTTAGTAGCTTAATTTGCGTGATTATTTTCACACAAATCATCTAATAAGCTTCGACGCTCTCTTTCGCGGAGAAATGCACGCATCGAAGTACTTCTGGAACGTTTGAAAAAAGAAGATACCAGCGCAGTGGCAAAACTACTATCAATCGACCAGGTAGCTGATTACGTAATCCGAGACATGATGAAATGTGCACTATTCAGCTTGGGACAGAAAGAAAAGTCGAAAAAAAGTACCGCTTGCGGCGAGAAAGAATAGTCAAGCATATGAACAGCTTTGAAAAGCTGTCGGAAACGAGTGTCATTACGACATCTTAGTTGATTCGGTTTTTATAATTTTTTTGAATGCTATGTTTATGATCGATAGTTATAACTCAAATTTCAGATATTCCCGCAAGATGTCCAGATTTGTCAGTGAAAAAGTTGTCTGAGAACACATCTGTTGAAGGTAACTCTCAAATATCCTTTATCCTGTACGCGTGTCATCTCTATTTGCAGGGTGGTGAGAAACGTTGAATTACTTACGTATTTCTAATCCTTCCTAGTTTCTACTGACATTCAAATTGCCTGTTCCATCTCATGCGAATATGGGACTAAATCCAGGTAATCATCTTACAAAGTGTCTTACAATGTTCACATTTTTGCGAAAAAAAGTGCCTTATAATTTTGTCTCAGAAGAATGCCGAGTGTGTTTATGGTCTTTTTCCTTGTTAGTATGAAATGGGAATATCATTTTTTGGATGCAAAAATTTTTTAGTTTTATTTTTTTATTTTCTGGCATCTTTGAAAATAATGTTTTTGTTGGTATTTTGTGGTAAGACGACTTGTTGAGTTTTTGAAATAACAGTGCCGAGTATAGGCATCCTTAATATTGGTGATATCACTTCTACTTAGGAGGAGGCGTGGCAGGGCGGGTCGCTGTTCGTGTGCTAGCCCCTGTGATACCGTTGTTTGGGTGCTCTGCGCCTTGTAAGCGACAAATAAAGCCAGAAGCAGCCGTAATCGATCTGGTTTTGCCTAACAGAAGATGAGAAGGACGACGAAAAGTTCGTGGGTGAGTAGCACCTATTCTTCTGAACTCATACGTCAACGAAGGTAATGGCAGTACCGAATCTATTCATCTACGGGACATTAGTTTTGCCAGCCATGCATTTATGGACACATTGAGCCATCGTACTGCGAATTACGTCCTAGATTGGGAGCTATAAAAAGATAAGGTTAACTCTTTGATTTGGTTAATTTTGCAATCAGAGACTGAGTAATACCATTGCCAGATGTTGGCGGGCGATGAGTACATCTTCTTTGCGCATTATATACTCGAGGCATAACGTTTGGTGATATAGATCATCTGACCTCCATCACCTGGCATGGAATGGATAACTGCAATTTTGGGAGAGTCGGCGTGCAAAACTCTTTCACAGTCACCGCGCATTCGCTAGTTCTATACAGCGGCAGTGGTTGTGCGGATGTCCTGGAGGGGGGCTCCGGTGTAACCACTCGCTGTGAACTAACAAGGGAACCGTGTCGAGTCGAAGTGGCCTTTCCAGATGGGACCCATACTGCCTTGAAGAGCATTAATCGGTGATTCCAAATCTGCTTTCCAAATCTGCCAAGCGCCTCTGGACGCCGAGTTATGCTCGTTTTTCAGGTCAAAAAATTAAACGCAAAACTGAAGCAAAATCGCCCAAATTTGCTCAAATGGTCCAATGTCAAGTATCAGAGCTGTTTATGCAATGGATACATTTTATTTATTATGCTAATACTTAACATTGCTTTATCTGAGCTCTGGAAAGATTGTAACAATCAATTTTACCTAAATTTTGCTTTCATTTTTCGTTCCGAAGAACAATCATAACTCGGCGTCCAGAGGCGCTTGGCAGATTTGGAAAGTAGATTTGGAATCACCGCTTAATACTCTTCAAAGCAGTATGGGTCTCATCTGGAAAGGCCACTTCGACTCGACACGGTTCCCTTGTAAGATCTGTAAACAATATTACACGCGACTTGTGTTCAAAGGTATCGTTCTCTTCATGCATATCAGCTATATGTGGACAAAGAGCCTGAAAACTTGATTTCAGAGTGGGCTACTGGTAGACCACAGCGATGGTTACGATTCCCACTGCTCACCTTGGTTGGTGGTAATCAAGGAGTGGAACTCCGATATATGAATTGCAGCCAGCATTCAAATCTTGATGAAGTACAAGTCAAAAGAGTTGCTAGAGTAAAGCAGTATTTGGCAAGCGTGTCACTTCTGACAATGTCTTTGCAGCGCAGTACGTTTTCTGGCTTTGGAGGAATTAGACCAGGATTCTGTCTTTGATAGTGTTGTCGTATGTGCATATTTTAGGAAGAAAATCATGTCTCTGCAATTTTAGCGCGTAGCAGCGCACAAAAGAGATCTCTGAAAAGAAAAGAGGTATGCGTAATGAACATGACATCAAAAATAATTTTGTTTTGAGTTTAAGTTTGAGTTCTTGTTTTGTTTGTTTTTTGAATTCAGCCTTTTGTTTTCGTTTTCTATGTTACTTTTTAGTGTGAAGGGTTTTGACGGTGATACAAATAATGCCTATGGAGCTTTGATTCGGTCGAGACAAGCTGCAAATCATCCTCTTTTGAGACGGGTTCAATATACAGATTTGCTTATAGATAAGCTCGCAAAGACGCTGTGCGCGAAGGTCAGACTAAACAAGGATTCTTCTGGGTCTGTTTCGAAAAAACATGATTTCACCGTTCAAGAAATCCTCCCTCTGAGAAGAGGAAATGGGAGGATTTGCTGAAGATCTTTCTTATCAGTCGGATTTCCAAATCCACCAAATATGCGAGAAGTACAGCAGCACAAAGAAATCCCTCGTGAGCGAAGACTTGGCATGATAGTCCATTAAAGGCAGCGTCCAGGCAGATCTGGACCTATGGGGCTTTTATGTGGAAAGTACTTTTGGGGCCCTAATTAAGGCGCTGCCCAAGCGGCAGCTCAGGAAGTGCTGTAATGGCTGAGATATTCCCCTCGAAACTGGCCCCCGCGAACGTAATCGCATGGATTCATGGCAGTTTCGCGCCAGGATCCACGCTTTGCGCCATGAATCCATGCGAAACACGGTCGCGGGGTCCAGTTTCGAGAGGAATATCTCAGCCATTACAGCACTTCCTGAGCTGCCGCTTGGGCAGTGCCTTAGTTAGGGCCACAAAAGTACTTTCCACGTAAAAGCCCCATAGGTCCAGACCTACCTGGACGCTGCCTTTAAATGTCGGATATTAGACAAACTGCTACCAAAGACTATAAAAAAGGTGAGTCGTTGTTGTCCTTGTTTTCTCCATGTTTTTTGCCTAGTTTTTTCATTGGTTTCGAGCCTTAGTTTAGCTGGAGCTGAGCAATACCTCGTTTTTCTATAACACGCCCTCTTCATTGATTATAGCATTTCAGCATTTTGTGCGAATTTGAAGAAAAGCGCGAGAGAATCTGCGATTTTGAATATTATCTTACCCGTGGTCAAAGAATTAGTCACTGATCCAAATCAGGTATGAAATAAAGTATTATCTCGTACTTTATCTTACTCGTAACTGAGATTTTCTAGCATGTCAAAACTGAGCTTGCTGGTGTCACCATGGGTCTCGCTCCACTTGTTGAGAAGGAAAACACGATATCGCAATTGTTACCTATTTACATGCAATTACTGAAAGACAGCACGGCCGAAGTTCGATTGAATATCATCACGAACCTTCACAAGGTAACATAACTTCATATCGATACAATTTTACATTGAGCTATTAATGTCTAGGTGAACGACGTCATAGGAGCCTCTCAACTTCTCAACTGGAGGTTTATATGCGAATACGGGGCTATGCATAGAAACCGGGATGGGTCAACACCGGTGATGGAAAGGTAAGCGTACACAGGATGTCTAATTGATTAGAATTTTTTTATCTATTTTCAGGCAAGAGATGATCATTGAGTTCAACAATGATCATCTCTTGATGATGATCTTGATTTGATGATCTTTTCGTGTTTCTTTTGTCGACTCGTGTATGAGGACTTGGAATAAATTTGACTTCTGCATACCACATAATTCTACATGACATCGACTTCAATCCTTAAAGCAGGTTTGGATCGTTCTTTTTGTCAATGATTTGATTTGACGAAAAACAACAAAATTTTCTTTATTTGAAAATGATGCTAACTTTGGCCAGTGTTTACATATTTAGAAAGGGATTAAGTTCATGGGAACACTGAGCAAATTTTCCATTTTTTTTCATTTTTGTTGTATACAGAAAATCGATGCCACGGTTTGGGTCAGAAGAAAGAGGATGTTGGTGGATCGGGCTCTGTGGAGTCGGAAGAAGAGAATTTGACAACGAGATTTTGAATTAGCTGCTTGCAAGTGCTTCGAAGCGCAAGTCAACCGGCTAAGTTTTTTGAAATGGTCATGTTCTTTGATCTGCCGGCATTTTCGACCTTAGGTTTAGCTTTGTTTTGAGAAAATTCGTACCTTGCTTTCATCTTTGTACGAGCCCCTTTTTATTCTGGATCTCTCTCAAGCTTGAACAATACTTCTGCTTTCTCGGTCATTTTGAATAGAATTAATGTGATTCATAAGCGCAGCTCTGCGTTAAAGTTCTTATACACTAGGTTGTCGAAATTAATGATATTATACTGGGAACATGGGCACATGGTTTGAGAAAAGTTAGAGTTTCTATTTGTATTGAATTTGTTTTCTTGTTGTCCGATTGCCTAACCTGTTCGTTTATCTTTGGTGGCAGTATTGAATTTTTCTATCGATTAGTTTCTCAGATGACGAGGTTATGGTACTGCTTATGGTCCACAAGGATCTGCTTCACTGTAAAGAATGATTTCATGCTTCATGTTCAGGATTTGTGAAGTGTTTGTACGGTCTAACCCAGTGGAAGCTGCGTTTTGGCAGTTAGAATGAGATTGTTGAACAATCATCATTCGTGAAGATGTCAATCAGATGTCTAGCTGACTAACCACTTTTGCAATTTTAAAAATTCTGTCAAATTAATTGAGTTGTTCGCCCTCTCTCTGTCAGTTAATGGCGAGCAAGAACCCTCATCTTACAACCGTCTTCCAAATAATAAATGGTAACCGCTGGTAGCAATTCCAACAAGGATACTATCAGACGCGTAAAATGGTGTTACTGTAGAATGGAAACAACAACTTATGCAACGTACGACACTTTGGACGAACTCAAAAATGTTCTTGTGCATTTTTCGCATTATGTTGGCTCCATGATCAACTATTGATTTATTTACTGCTCATAACAGCTGCAGTTGAAACGAGTAACCCATAACAATAAGGGTTAGAAGATGAAAAAATCAACAACGAGGTTAATTGGGTCCTGATACTTGTACAGTAATAAGGTTCATCATCAAAGACATGCGAGATTCTAAAAAACAAAACTACAGAATTCTCAAAATCTTCGAGCCAGTGAACCGTTCGGATTCTCATGTTTACATGCTGCTTTTGGACAGTACGCACGTCTAAAAATCCGCAAACCTTTGAATCTCGTGAATAATAAGGACAGACTCACTTGAAAGGTTGTCGTAGTTCTCTGCATAGCTATCAGTGATATGCTTCAAGAGCAGACTTCGCTTTTCGAACACCTGAAGCTTTTGAAAATGCGAAACTACAATTAAGATAAAGTAGCCAGAAAAGATTTACCTCGTTACAGAGATGACAAAGTGTGACGATGTTTGAAGAATTCGAAGAAATCAGATTGTAACACTGATAGCTATGAATTCGCAGAAAAGGCACCTAAAGCTATCGTGTCGCGAGGGATAAGCCATATTAGCTGGTGAGAGTTCTAAGGAAGTATCATTAACTTCTTCCTAGACTTAGATACCAAATTGAGGAAATTTATAGTCTGGAACACATCTTTAACAGTGATGTGAAATCATGATTGAAAAACAGTTTGTCGATGGAATGGGAAGAAAGAATGAATAGCCGTGTATGCGGAACGGGCCAGGAGTCACACCGCGCGCTGCAATAACGCCGCGAAGCGACGGTTAGCCCTTTGAAAATTATTCCTTCGCAGAATCGCTGCGCGCGGTGTGACTCCTGACCCGCAGCCCCTCGCTCCATTGCTTTTTGACAACAAACATGCTCTATTGCCAGCAGTGAGGAGTCCTTCAATACTACGGGTCTCGTACAGCCTCGAACCAATTCTCGCCGCGCAGAGAGATCGCTTAGCGAAAAATTCGCGCAAATCGTGACTCCTGACCCAGACCCGAACGAATCTTTATCTTTGAGATGACTTGCTGTTGCATCAGATAAAACACGCTTACCGTTAAGATTCGCTTGAAGGTCGGAGCGCCTCTTGCAAAGCTATAGCACATTGAAAGCCTGTTAACATAAACATTTCGCTTCTGAGAAAGAGCAACTGAACTACAGATGCGTAACAAGAATGTTTCGCGTATTATGCACACCTCCCGTCCAATGTTTACTGCCGTGTTTTTGGTTTTCCACTAAAATATGTGAAAGAAACAAGCAACAAATCAGATGAAAAGATGGAACATGTGGAAGTGAAAGAGATCTTCATGGAGAGAAAATTTTGCCGAATGAGAACCAGTCAAGCAATTTACGTTGAGCGAAATGCACACAAACAGAAAACGATTCAAAAGAAAACAATGTCAGAATTGTCTTCATTGGCATCTTCCCATACTTCCTTTGCAACAAGTTGACCTTCGTCATGCGCACGACGAAATCCGTTCCTAATGCACTGAGCAGTGACTTCCTGAATGCTTTGCAATATACTTGGGTAATTCAAAATTTTTTCATCGAATGAATGAATGTCGAATAAACTCGAAAAGGAAAAATTTCGAATAAACGAATATCGATTAAATTCGAGGTTCAAAAATTCTCGAATGAATGAATTCCGAATAAATTCGGAAAATCAGAAATATCGAATGAATGAATATCGACAGAGAAACAAATGGATTATGGGACTATACGTAGGCGGAAATGGGAGGTTCAGTTGGACACAAATACACCTTTTAGTACATGCACAGGATGAGTATCTGCTGTATCATCCACGCTAAATCCTCCCACTTTCGGCGACATATAGTCCTCTACCCAAACAAATGATCTTCTGAGAGCAAGGGAATTACGAGTTTACAATTTGATTTTCCTACTATGTAATTCCTAGGCATTTGTAAGACACAATGTCGCAGTGTAAGTCAAAATTAAAACATCATAAAGTCGTGCACAATATGCACAACTCTGTCACCAACTATTTTGCTTGTTCAACTGTAAATTCATCAGCTTCTTTCTTTAAACAATAATATCGGTAATTGCCTTTTCAAAAAAAGAAGCAAATAAAGCTTGCGTTCAATCAAGTTCTACCCAAAGTTCTCGGTTGCTAATATTTTCCCTTGACTCTCCATATAGACTATAAATTGGGTTGTTTTTGAGCCACAGCAGAACTTAGCAAGGGTCAATTTTGCCTAGACATGCTTATGCACAAAAGAAGGAATTTAACGAAATAGAAAAGAGGATGATCAGATAGTTACTGAAGGTCGGGAGTTTCTAATATTGTCAAAATCTTTTCAATCGAGGTTCCTCTATCAAAAGAGTTGCTTGGAATCAGCACACAAAAGTTTTGCCCTAATCCAACACTTTCCTTATCCGCGATGTCGGACTATGGAAAAATTATAACCTTTCAAAGGTCCAAATTTTGCAAACATTTTGCGCCATATTTAAGAGAACTAATGGTTTAAAAAGACCTATGTGTCTCCAGTGAATGTGAGCACTCCTTGAAACCTATACCTAAATATCTTGCTAGTATTGCACTCTTGCGTTAGATCTTATAGCACATTATGCATTAGAGCTCCAGTGATTTCATAGAAATATGAATTATCTACCAATTTCCAACTAGCTGTTATTAACGATTGCGCGAACAGGAGAGAATTCCAATCCCGTGTCACCAGACTTCAGAGTGTCCGATCTGGCAAGTTTGGCCATGTCGAGCAGCAGAGCCCGATCTTAACAGGTCGGGCTCCGCTGCCCGGCTGCTGTGCCCGACATGGCCAAACTTGCCAGATCGGACCATAGTCACCAATAGAGAAGCCCGATCACCAGCTTGGCTTGGTGTATCGCGGGCGTTAGTGCCCGCGTTCCTACGGGCGTTACCTGTACAGGAATTCCACTCCTAAATAGGAGATTGAAAAACGCGCTAGTATCGTTGCCTCCCTTTGACGTTGAGCTGAGCGTTTGCAGACACCCGAACGTCTTGGTGACTTAACAAAACTCAACGCAGGCCTAGTTCTTTGTACGCCATATATTAGGTTGTCCTAAAACTTCTTGCGCCGGATTTTCAAAAAATCATGACTTCCTTTCTTCTCAACAATTTTTCTCAAGATTATTCCTGTATGAAAGAGGGAACCTTTTTGTTTATGGCGGTACCCTTGCCATGAATTAGCTTTGGTAAATTCGAGAGTTAACAGCAATCGAATGAACTTAGTCGAGATCGACATTTTTCAAGCTGGATCACGAAAAATTCTGGAAGTGATTTTATTTGATAGAGAAAATTTTGCACATTACAGTGGTGCCATTTTCATGAATTAAAACGAAGAAGACCGAGAGTTAAAAGCAAATAAGGAGAATTTCTTTATTTTTGCAATTTTTGAGCATGCTCAAAAATGCTTGAAAACGTCACAGAAAAGGCGAAAAAGTCACAAACATGGGTTTTGTGACTTTCCCTTTCTAGCTGAGCCAAAATCGTGCCAATCGGGAGCAATTTTCATTTTCGTGATTTATTCGGATTTTCGGGTCTGCGTTTTTCACGAAAATAAAAATTGCTCCAGATTGGCACGATTTTCACTCAGCTAGAAAGGGATGGTTACAAAACCCATGTTTATGACTTTTTCGCCTTTTCTGTGACGTTTTCAAGGTTTTTTTGACCATGCTCAAAAATTGCAAAACTGAAGAAATTCTCTTTATTTGCTTCTGACTCTCGATCTACTTCGTTCTAATTCATGAAAAAGATACCACTGTAATGTGCAAAATTTTCTCTATCAAATAAAAACACTTCCAGAATTTTTTGTGATCCAGCTTGAAAAATGTCGATTGACTAAGTTCCTTCGATTGCTGTTGACTCTCGAATTTACCAACGCTAATTCATGGCAAGGGTACCGCCATAAAGAAAAAGGTTTCCTCTTTCATACAGAAATAATTTTGAGAAAAATTGTTGAGAAGAAAGGAAGTTATGATTTTTTGAAAATCCGGCGCAAGAACTTTTAGGACAACCTAATATATTAGGTCGTTCCGAAAGTAATGTCGCTTTTTTTAAAGGTACGCCACATCTCGTGGAACAAAGGTTTGTAAGAGATCTTGGAAGCATTCGATGCAGCATTTCATCATCTTTATAGAGGTTATATTACCATTGCATAATACTCAATGAGCTCTCGAAAAATTACCAAAATCTACAACTCATGCTTTTTGCCATAGTCAAGTTCGGTTATTTTTCTAAATTTTTGTACTGACTCCCCGAAGAAGTGCAAGTAATGTACAGATAGAGCAAACCCTATAGGATACGAAACAACTTTTTCTTTTCCTCAGCCCGCCTCTTAGAATTTCTGAAACCAATATTTTAATGCTATCAAATTCCATATTTGATCAGCTAAAACCTCACAGAGCAAAAACCGGCGAGCAAGTTGGGTGTCATTCGACGCAGCTTTTTCTTCTCTTTCTACCAGTTGTTTTTGGTTTCCGATTCATAATGTTTTCCGAGATAAAATCATCATAATTCAGTTTCTCCAGGGCGCGCCAGGCTGTACCCGAAGTTTCCGAAAGTTGCTAATAGGAAGCGGTAAACGCTCATTTGCTTCGTGAAATTAATGTAAAACCATAATTCATCTTTGTAAGTTTCAAAATCCGAAGATTCATTGGTGTTTGATGCATTTGTGTCTGCGACGAGCCTGCTAAAATTCGGTGATTCCAATAAAAAATTTATACGAAAATTATGAAGAGCTATGGAAAGTAGGAAAAAATGATGCTGCTTCCTGTAGGGTTTCATCTATCCATGCATTACTCAAGCTCCTTCCGAGGGTTGTTACGAAAATGTAGAAAAATTGGGAAACCTGATCTTCTCAAAAAGCATAGGTCGCAGATTTTTGTAATTTTTTTGGAAGCTCATTGATTATTATGCAATGACATTATAACCACTAGAAAGAGGATAAAATGCTGCATCGAATGCTTCCAAGATCTCTTACAAACCTTTGTTCCACGAGATGTGGAGTACCTTCGAAAAAAGCGACATTACTTTCGGAACGACCTGATAGAAAAAAGTTGTGCTGTTTCCTGTAGGGTTTGCTTCATCCATCCATTACTTGGACTCCTTCTGAGGTTTGTTATAAAATTTTAGAAAAATTGTGAAACTTGGCAATCTCAGAAAGCATAGGTCGCAGATTTTGACTCTTTTCTAAAAGCTCATTGATTGTATTGCAACATCTCCATAACCTTTAGAAAGAGAATGAAACGCTGCATCAAATGCTGCCAGAATCTCTTACACATCTTTGTTCCACGAGATGTGGCACACGTGAAAAAAAAGCGACATTAGTTTCGGAACGACCTAATACTTTTCAGAGCTCGTCATAATTTCTGTATAGATTTTTTGATGGAAGCACCGAATTTTAGCAGGCTCGTCTCAGCCACAAATGCATCAAACACCAAGAAATCGTCGGATTTTGAAATTTACAAAAATGGATTATGGTTTTACACTAACTTTACAAAGCAAATGGGCGTTTACCGCTTTAGATTAGCAACTTTCGAAAATTACGGGTATAGCCAGAGGCGCCCTGGAAAACCTGAATTATAATGATTTTATCTCAGAAATCTTGATGAATCGGAAACCAAAAACAACTGGCAGAAAGAGGAGAAAAAGTTGCGTCGAATGACACTCGAGCTGCTTGCCGGTTGTTGTTCTGTGAGGTTTGAGTTGACCAAATATGGAAATTGATGGCATTGAAAAACTCATTCCAGAAACTCTAAAAAACAAGCTAAGGAAAAGAAAAAAACTACTCTGTGTCCTATAGGGTTTGCTCTATCTACCTGCCACATGTACTTCTTCGGAGAATAGGCATAAAAATTTAAAAAAATAGCCGAACTTGACCACGGCAGAAAGCATGAGTCGCAGATTTAGTTAATTTTTCGAGAGCTCATCAAACACTATGCGAGAAATTACAACTATTAGAAAGAGGATGAAATGCCGCATCGAATGCTTCCAAGATTTCTTGAAAATCTTGATTCCGTGAAATGTGGCATTCATTCGAAAAAAGCGACATTACTTTCGGAACGACCTAATATATATTAATATATATATATATATATATATATTAACATACGTTGTCATATGTGGCAGAGTTGGTGGCGAGAGATTACAAAGAACAACTTGCAGTAGAAGGTGCATAAGCTCACCAAACGAGTTCTCTGCAAGTGCTCCTCCCAAATACACCGGGGAGGAGACGATAGAAAGACTAATTGAAGTGTGCTGTGAAAATGCGAGTGGAATAAAAAAAAACTTTTCAAATGGTTCGATATTTATGAGCATTCAACATATTTTAACTAAATTACTCCCTCTGTATTGCAGTAGCCGAAAATTTTGAAGATGAGAATACCTTTGGTAAAATCTATACCATTGAATTCGTTTTACACCTACGACACCTACGTCTGCCTTTTCTTCAATTCACGAAAAATACTGTGAGTAGCAGAAACCATTTGAAGTGAGATGTACATGTCAAGCGTAGTCTCGTCTGAAAAGATAATCATGCGTTTTACAGAAACATTTGAGATACTTTCTCACTTGCAAACACAGCAGTGATAGAAGTTTACGAATAGAATTCTTAGGGTTGCCAGAAATGCGAACTAGGGCCGGGACAAAGGTGGCAAATACTCTGTGAATGGGATGCGCCTTTGCCGCCTTGACTTCACGATTCTCCCCTTGATCACACCAACTGCGCAGGCTATTTGACTAAAGCGCGTTTTTCTTAAAAGCTGGGACCCGTTTGTTTTCCGGAATCTAGCAAAGAGGAAAGAAGTTGAAGGAAAGTCGTTTCAATAATCACTCAATCGTCAGATTCCTTGCATTACATGCAAGAACTTTTGTGCTCCAATCTGCAAGCTCTCAAAGCATTTACCTCAACTCTGCGAAGCAAAGCTGCATTCCTTAAAGGATCGTAAAGTTCACATGTGAGTGCTTCTGTGCTGGCCAAGAAGCAAATTAAAATTGTGAAAAAAAGAGAAATTTATTGCTGACTCTAAAATTTATAATAACGTGCAGGAAATGTCAACATTTTTGTTTTACCTATCACATAGTACCTTTTCTCGGCATTGTAAAGCGGCTGCAAAATAGAGTTATGTTATGTTGAGTGTAATGATTTATACTAAGAGACACCCCTGTGGCTTCAATAGGAATATTTGTGGAAAGCAAGCCCAGCAACATTTGAAGCGAAAAATCGAGAGCGTATGACCGACACGGACACAATTTTCTTTTATACTCTTGTAGATAGAGTCCTGTAACAGTCATATGCAAGTACTTCTTTTGATCGCTTATATGTAATTAGCTTTAAAGATTTAGATAAAGAAAATCTCTTGACAGATACTGTAACAAAAAATATGTTAATCCTTGAACCAAATTTGCAACTCATGACTAGAGTGTGTCCGTTGCTTGAGACCAAGTGTGTCGAATGACAATTTTACAATGCTCGGGGCTTTCAGATCATTTTGCCAATCGACGTGAAGAAAGTCTTTGTTTAATCATACAACAATCATTAAGTTACCCCAGTTGCATTACCATCAATTAAATTTTGCAATGCTCAAAACCGAATTAAATTTTTGTAAAAATGATGCTCAAGACTATTTTTTTACCGAAAAGTTAGATGTCAAAAAATCGTATGTTTTCCAAACAAAGTATCGCAAATGCAGACACTTGCTTTGCTCAAATCTTGATGAATGAACGCCCAAAATTTATTTCCCTCCAGAATTTGCGGCTTTTTTGATAACATGCTGTGAATTTATGTCTGAATATAAGATCACGCTATAATTATCGCGCATAATGCTTGTTTTGAACTCACACCAAACGCGGTAAAACAAATTGGCTTTTTGCGCTACAAAAGCGAGCAGCAACTTCTTTTAGTTCTCATAGTTTTCATTTCTTTAGAGCCATTAGATCACATGCGTTTCTGTATGCTTCATGATTCGGAACTTCATTCTGATCATCTTCATCTATACATTTGGTTATGGCAAATATTTCGTTAACGTCTTTCAGCCAGATTTTTAGCCGATTATGATTTCTGAAGTGAATCGTTGATTTGATGACAATACTTTTTTCCAAAGGAGCTAAGTAGTGTTATTTAGTGATTTAAAAAAATAATTATTGGATCATATGTTTAGTGTCAATGAGAATTCACAGCAAGCTCTTAGCGATTGCTAACAGATTTCATCGAAAATTTGCTTCGACGTCAGGGCTCAGCACAGCTGGCACCGGGTCAAGCTGGATATCGTTTTTGGGGCCGAAAGCAAAGGGGATATCGTTTTTCCGGGGTCCGGGGCGGAGCCCCGGAAAAAAATTGCAGGGGAATATATCGGCATTTCAGTATAATAAAAATTGATATCATAGTATCTTTATCTTTTTTAAAAAAAAGCCTATGCATTGAATGCCTTTGCAAACATCAAGCTCCATCCTACTGAACTAAGATGTAGTAATCTTGTTTGACAAATTCGTTTAACACATGAGCTGTGTTGACATCGATGATAGAAGCTCTATTGCTTTGAGAATTCGACCAAATTACATTCTGAGAAAAATTGTAGAAACATCAACTAATGTGTAATGTGAAGCCTCTTCACGCTCCCATTCACTATACCCATGGACGCTGAAATCGAACGGAGTCACTTCCGGCCACGGTGGAGACGGCGGTCTTTGTGTCCGTTGGGTGTGCGCCAGCATGTTGGGGGTAGGACTCTCCGATTCACGTTTCGTCACCTTCTCACAAACAAAAGCTTCCTGAAATCAGGGTTGTCACCGTGCGTGAAAATGCCTAGTTTTAATTGAAAGCGTACCTCGAATGAGTCACTTTTATAATGCGAATGTAGCTTATCATCCGGTTCAAAATCAGAATCTGAAGAATCGACGTCCGATTTCGGAACATTTAAATCAATCCAGAGTGGAGGCAGATCAAAATCGCACCTGTCCTTGTTTGCTGGTGCTGGTGTCATGGCGTCAAACGTGCGAGCACTTGAAAACAATGCTGGCCAAAAAATTCCGAAAAAGCTTACCGATGAGTGTGAAGGTTGAAAAAGACCCAAATTAAGTAAATGATAGCTAATATGTATTTTTTTTTTGTGAGGAGACTGTAAAAGATTTATTGGTTTTCATCATTAACTATCCCAATGCTGAAAATTGCCGCCTTGTCTTTTTCCACAGCTATCAAGTCTTTCCGAAAGTCTTCTATATCGCTTTTGCTATGAAGAGTTGCCCTGATCGCCTGATCACCAAACACGTTCAGAAGTGTGTCAACTTCAATTGCCGGTCCAATCAAATTGCGTAGCGAATTAGCATCACCCAGATTCTCTGCAAAATTAATGGCCTATTTTGATGGAGTTGAGTGCACAATTCAAATATCACGTATATGTGGTTCACGCAAATGCTGACTTGCATAGAAGGCTTTCTTAATAGAAGCCATTGTGTTCGTGGAAGATCCTCTGGTGGAGTGTACACCCGACCTCAAACCCAGGCCAGGCAGGGGGTGTACCCACTGATAGGCTAGTTGAGATGGTTCTAGTGTCAAGAGATTTGGACCATTTCTTTGAATGCTGTAAATTTTGGTGACATTAAAAGAAAAGATGATTAAAGAAATCTTACTGCATCATGGTATTGATTGTTTTTGTGGAAAGACTGCTCCTTTCGCCAGCTGTAAGACGATTTGCTGTGGAAAATGTTCGTTCTGAATCCGCATTGCTGGATGGAATGACGAGAATGCATTTGAGCACCTGCATCAATACATTATGAACAGGACCTTTACAAATTGTGTAAATCTTACCATTTCAACTTCCTCAGGCATGTTAAGCTTTTCTTGGAATTCCAGCAGCTTTTTGTAGATCCTCTTAGAACTCTTATCATTTCTTAAATCCTCCGGCCACTGTTCTAAACTTTCCACTTTCTCGTGCAAAGTGGAATAAAAAGAGTACAAAGCTTCTTTCAATGCGGAAACGACACAATATTTTTCCAAGAGTCTTATTGATTCATTCATCAAATCTCGTCGTACAGACGTATGGTACTCATTACGTAATCCAATGTACAATGGATACCCTCTGTTGGAAAAAGTAGCATTTGGGGGTATGTAATTATCCCATTCCGTTCTAAAATCGCCATCGAAATCTATGATGTCAAGGATTATGTGGCGATCTACCGCAACAAAGAGGTTACCCGGTATCAATTGCTCCCCAAATTTGCGGATAATAGATGTATAGGTGTTGGTATACAAATCTTCAGCCTCCTTTTGTACAGTCTTTTCACCTAGGTGCAACAAGAAGTCGCGAAAGGTAGATCCAAGTCCAAAATTTAAAGGCACGTCGAAATTAACATCAGGGGAGCTGTCCTGATAGAAATGGAGGCTACTGGAATCCAGATCTATTATGTCTTCAAGGCCACTCTCGCTTGATGATCCTTCTGACGTAGTGAAGATTTTGTACGATAGCAGTCTAGATCTCTCCTCTATCTCTTCGTTTGTAAAGTCGACCTCAACTTTCTTTTTGAAGTCTTTGAAACTTTCTGGAAGGTAGACAAGACGCCATTTTCTTGCTTGACTATTTTCTAATATTTCATAATAGTTCATCAGAAATTGCTCATCCACTCGCTTTAGGTGTTTTCCATCATAAACATTTATTACAGATTTGTATGCCATCAGTTCTTGATGTAGGTCATTTTTCAGTGACCCGTCTATAAGCGACTGTGTAGTAGCACGAGTAGCTTCTATTGCATCTATGGCCATACTGTCTGTATTTTGGAAAAGCAGCGATAGAGAGGAGACTTTACGAAGAGCATTCAAGACATGTCTCATCATAAGGAATACGCGTCCATCCCGCATCACCCAGGAAGCGCATTTTGCTCTGATGCGTAGATTTTCAGAAATGCTACTGTCACTGTCCACCTTATCCAAGCTTTCGATTAATACCGGCCACATGCGAATAATGTTACTCAGCCCTTTACTGAAGCTGTCCGACCATCTAATTGCGAAAAATTGGCCCATTTGTAAATTTGGAAACGACATCAAACGTGCTATGTCTTTGTAATGTCGTCTTGCGGAGGACGATTGTGGGGTCCCGAAAATCGTGTGCATCTCCATTATAAGAGCTCTGGCAAGCTTATAAGCAATGTGGTTTGCATTTTTCATTGCAATATTCAGTTGATGGGCAGCACACACAGATAAGAGCAATTCTGTTCTCACTGGAGATGAGCTTTTCGATTGGATATGTCTCTGGAGCCTACCAAAAACACCTTCATCACGACCGGTCATTGTAGCCGCTCCATCTGTTGTAATAGCAATTAGTCGTTTCATAGCATGCTCATGTGGTGAGATCCTGAGACCGGGAGAGGTAACCCAAGAGTCCAGCTCGTTTAGATGTGAGAGTAGCACGTCTGTTATGATCTGACCTGTTTCGCGTGATATTTCGGCGAGAAGAAGGTGGAAAGTGTACGGTTCGAATGAGGGAGTTATAGTGCGGATCATATACGCCATCCACTTCGTCCCTCTTGAGGATGATGATCCATCCATTAGTATAGAAAATGGGAGATCATTTGCTATCACGTAGCTGAACAGTTCGTATTCAATGTGCACTGCAAAAGTTTTTATCATTCGTTTCGCAGTTGTTGCTTCGTAGTGAGCACTGCCAACAACGGCTCCCGCTCTCAATGCAAACATCATCAGAGGAAACTGCGAAGTCAAGGGAAGACCCTGCTTAGCTATAGTGTAGGCTCCCACTGTCGCCGTTACGGTGGCTTTTACCGCAAGATCCTGATTTTGCTGCTCCTGAGCTCCGAGCGCCATGTGATAAGACTTCAATCCGTCTTCGTGCTCTTTGGAATTCGGATGACGTCCGACAGCGCGAAGGATACCGGCACCCCAGCCGCGATGATAATTTGAGACTCTTTTGATACACAAAACACTTCCTGCTCCCATCAGATTCACACATTTCTCATCGGGACAGGGCGTAACAGTCGAACAGTGGCAAAACCATAATGCGTCGTCTCTCAGCTTAGCTTCTCTGCTGCAGAGTTTGCACCGTAAAAATGAATTTGTCAAATCCGATGTGTCTAGGACTAGTTGCAACCAAGGTAAATTCAGAAGCCAGCTTTTTTGTTTCTCTGTAAATTCGATTCCTATGTTTTTCAGCTGCTCGAGTTTCTTTTCAAGTTCATGGTCTGCATCCAGTCCAAACTTTCTTTCTAGTTGTAGAGTGGAGTACTTTAGAGCTGCTTTTCGCAGTTCTTCTTGCACGATCATTTCATTCTGTACTTGCTTCATTCTTGTATCTAGACTACATACACCTTCTTGCAAACGTTCTTCCGCTTTCAAGATTCTTTCCAAAGTAATTTGTTGTTTATCTTGCTTACGAGTAAAAGTTCTGCAAAAAGCCTGAAGTGAAGGATGTCCAGCTGCCTGATCTGAAGTTGACACTAAGTCGACATCGCTATCCATGACCGCTTCAAAATGTGGTTCATACATTTCGTCTATATCCATTGGCATATCTTCATTAGACACTTGATTTTGCGACATTGGCTCTTCGTGACGGCAAATGTCTTCGAAAGATGCGGTCAGCATACGTTCATCGTTATTATCGCAAATATTATCGGTACCTGGCGTCTGTTTCGTCACAGCAAAGTGACCGTCAGGGCAAAGAGAAATGGATTCACCTTTTTTAAGCCATGTAAAATCCGCACATAAGACTTGAATTGTGGGAGACTCATAATGAGAGAAGAGGTGTTTTAAGCGAATCAGTGGGAGTGCTATACTTTCAGACATCGATGTAGTGAAGACCACAATATCCTTTGCCCTTGCGGAAAGCCATTCCTGTTTCTCTCTTGTTATCTGGAGTTTCTCGGGAGCAAAGTACTTATTCCTTTTAGCGTCGAATTGCACATAACTGAACTCCCGTGAAAAATACTCTGCCTCCTCTTTTCTTTTCTTGTGATCAAATTTCAAAAGGACGATGACTATTTGGCTATCCAGTAGTTCTTTCTCGCTTGGTATAGAAAGCGTGATGGAGTCAGGTGGTGCATCAGTTAAAAATCTGTCCAGAGTGCTCTGTCCCTAAAAGACTGATTTGAAAATGGCAATACACCAATTATGTTGATACCTGAGGAGCCTCGCGCTCGCAATTTGGCCAATTCAAGAGAGATCCGCATTTGAGCCCTACATCGCCACTGTACATATCCCAAGCGATGGCTTCCCCAACACGGTCAGTGGCTTCCAACGGCGGCGCAAGCGCTTTAGGTCCTCCCACAGTAAAGAACGCTTTGAATGTATCTGCGATTCTTCGACCACCTCTCTGCGCATTCGCATCGTGCTGGGCTTTGGGCCAAAGAGACTTGGAAAATTTGATGAAAGTTCTCATTTCGAAGGACCCGCTTTCTCCTTTCTACAAAAGATATTTACTTCAAAGACATGTTGAAGTCATGGATCTGAGCATACACACCTCCCTCGATTTAGTGTCCAAGATAACCACGCCATAATCACTGAAATCCATATTCTGCATAGCCTTGCGATCCTTTCTACAACTTTCTGGCACTTGCAGTTCCAAAAACTGCAGCGACGGCGTGTTTTGGAAGGTCACGTTAGCTATTTCGGATATGAATGGCACACACGGAGAAATCTTGGGATCTCCGCAGATGGTTGTAGCACATAGCAAACAAAGAAAAGCAAGCGATAGCTGCATGAAGTACATGAAGACTGAAAGACCAATGCGAACAGAGGGTTTACAAAGTCCTCGGAAAAACTGAGTTAATCATTCTCACATGCACAGGTGTCAGGAGGCCAAAGAAGCCACACATTAAACTTTCTTTCAATTTCTAAATAAACCCTCCAACAATTCTTCTTTCGATCATGACTACACCACCGCTTTTTAGTTTGTTTCGATTGCTTCCGCACTACTTCCGCTTATTCCGCTCCATAAGATCAAAAAGACTGCAGAAGTATGCAAAACAAACGAGGTAAGGACAAAAATGCAGGCGGCATGCTAAATCTAAATTTAGCCGCTGGCATGCCACTGGCATGCCGGCGGCGACATGCCGGCTGCATGCCAGCGGCGGGAATTCAAATTGTGCCGAAAACAAACAAAAGCCTTATTTACAAACAAAACGCAATCATATGACACCAAATTTGGTGTGTACATGCGCGTTGGGGGACCCGAGCTACAGCCTGAAAATCTATGAAAACTTATGTGAATGGAAGCTGTGCCCAACTTTTTTCTGAATTAGCTGGAACGGTGCCAGCTGGGTGCCAGCTCAGCTGGCACCGACCCTTTGCTCACATAAGTTTTCATAGTTTCTTACATAAATTGTACCTACACTTCAAAAGTTTACATACAGTGAAAAAACAATTTCATAATGTTTCTTTTTCGGCGTTTTCCAGCCATATGAAAATTTCCCGTTCTGTTCAACAGTTGGAAAATATGCTCCAATCACAATGCGCGCCCTATGCGAATGCAGCGCGAATCTATCAATTTTATTTCATCACTTTCGTCGTTACTGTCATCTTGCATTTTTTCTTGCTGTTCTTAGTATCTTTATGCTTGTTTTGTTCCAGACACGTCCTGGAAACCCTGCGGACTCTGCTGAAGCGCAGACGAGGAGGTCGGAGGTTACGCAGCCAAATCTGTCTCGCTGCCTCTTGCATGAGAAGCTGGAAACGCTTCAGTGCTGCATCTCTTTCAAACGAAAACATCATGATCTTTGCGATAACACGATAGTTATCAGTGGAGGTGAGTGCTTCAAAGTCTTTTATGCACATTCTACCTTTTAGGCATTGTAGTGTCTAAGTGGGGGTTATGGTTGATACTTTCTTGACAGTAGCTCGTAGGGGTCTGCTTCATTTCAGAACAATCTGAGGATCAGTCTGTGGATTCCAATCCCGGAAACGAAAATGAGAGGATCGAAACTGCTGAGGACAGCGACAATGTCAAGAGTGCTAAGAATATAGAGGTATGTGTCGTTGTTTACAGTATTTCTATTAATTTGCTGGAATGAGGCAATGCCCATACCTGTAATCAATCAAGCCCGTCTATTCAACGAGACAAAGATTGCTGAAGAGGTATATAACACTATTCTTTCTTGCACTACGCCCCAGACAAAGGTACTAGGTTTCTCTTTTCTCTCACACTGGTGGTCAGAAATCTTTCATTCGATAATTATCCCAACCCCTCTCATCACAAATCGTGTGTGTTTGATTCTCTTTTTTTGCGTAATAACAGGGAAAAACTCAGGGTTGTTGCTTTGACATTTTTATAACCGCTTTGAAATCAAATCAAGAAACCTGGTCCACCTTTGCAATGGAGCCCACCGCCTAAAATATTTTTTGTTGAGCTAAGAGGAAGCGGTTTGTTTTGTCCATTGGAATCTCCTCATTAGGTATTTGGAATGTGCGCTATCAATCATGAAAGTATCAAGACGAAAACTGTTGAAATTCATGCTTAATAAATGGATTTCAAAAATGAATTCTCAGGAACTTCATGCTCACAACAACAGCATGATGCGTACGGGACAGTCAGGTGATGCGAAAGCAAATGCCGTTAGTAGTAGGCCTCCAGGTATAACTAAATATTCAATACAATCTTGTAATCTGCTTATCTCCACATATCTAGGCTCCTTGTCCCAAGCAGAACTTTGTGGCGAAGAACATCCATCACCTAGGCTGCCGAAGACCGTTGTTCGTAAAAAGGACGACAAAAGCACTGCTGCTCAGTTATTGTTGTCACAACTCATGAATGTTAGTTTTTACTAGATAATGCGTTTGAGGACGAATAGAAGCATAGTAAAATCAGTTGAGGTCCAGCCAAAGACCAAAACTATGAACCATCTTTTTTGCAGTCGCAATCACAATCTCCATCACATGTTACGGTGTCAGCCGATTGGCTCAGCGCATTCCTACTTAACAATCCCATTCTGCTCCCACTCCTACATCATGGATATACTGAAAATGGAGACACAGAGGTATGGACTTTCATTCTTGGTAAAGGTGACGTCGCCGGTGCACTGAGGCTTACAGTTTACTCAGTGTGGATGTTTTCAGCACCTATTTCTCTTGTATACCATATAGCCTTTGCTGCGTCTATTTGTAAACATTCACGTATACGGAAGACTTGATGCAGTATGTCCATCTTGACTAGAAATTTGGAGTTTGGCCGAAGTTTTTTCTTCTCAAAATATTCCATCTCACTTACAATGTGGCCTAGAAATATTCAAAGAGTAGTAGTATAAACCATGCCCTGGAAGTAGTGTCGTCCTTACAGCAGCGGTGAGCTAAGGGAAAAGAGGAAGGGGCTTTCAAAATGGTGTAAATAATTGTAAAATCGTGGTACTCCATTTGTTCTGGCGGAAAGCCTAGTTCATTTCTACAGTAGCAAATTTTATAATGCAGTAAAAACCTCTCTACGTTCCAGGTGACTACGTCCACTTCCATCGATGAGGAAGCAAGCAAGAATCTTCTCAACAATAACAATATCAAATTTTCTGAGTTGAACGTGAAAACAGAGAACGATGTGGTGTTCAGTGCACAGGAGTTAGGTATTGCGTCTGGTGGACAGGTGTGTGTGTCATCTGTTTTTATGGTCATTGCTCACTTCTTGTTATATGAAGACTTTATTAGAATATTCTAGGTGACTGAAACCGACTCGTCACCAACTCAAAGTTCCAAAGAAGGCAGCCCTATCACACATGACTTCGCCCCATCATCCAATGTAAGCTTTACATCAAAAGGTGTAGAAACTTGTTTGTTGAGTGCCAACCCCTTATTGGTTAAGGGCTGCTGCACTGATGAGTTCAGTGGCCTTCCTAGGTTTTACAATAATATATTTCTTGCTGGTTATGCTCAACATCTCTTTTGGTAGAAGAAGGCGAGTATCTCAACATTCACCAGCTGCCGCTTGGGCAATGTCTTAGTTAGGGCCCCAAAATTACTCCCCACTTCGGAACCCCTTATGTCCAGATTTGCCTGGACGCTGCCTTTGAGCCAGTTCAGCAGTTTTGCCTGAAAATTCGTTTTTCAAATTTGTGAGAAGCTTAGATTTTCGTCGGTCATACCGACCTCTTTCTTAGCCAAATGTAAAGACATCTTTAACATCATTTACTCGCAAGACATCATATCTTTCGGTCTTCAAATTAGCGTTATAGACATTGTGGACAGCGGCAGAAAAGGCAGCGATAAATAACAAATTGGATGAGCTGAATCGCGCTACTGACGAACTAAAGCAAATGCTACTTCTCCATAAATCCAATTCGAAGAAGCCCGTCATGGCGACCCTCAGCCACTGTGACATCCCTATCGCCTTACTTATTATTCTGATCTTTTGCGTTGTTAAAACGTCTGGACAGTATTTACCTGCTGGAGAGAAGAAAGTGATGGTGAGTTGTTTTCGTTAATCAGTAACCGCGTTCAGTACTTTGTTTAGGTATGCGGTTGTGAACTGACAGTATCATGGCAGGATCTCACATTGAACACCATCTTCCTACTTATCAGCATTCTAATCAACCAGCTGGTAAGTCACCAAAAAAGAAATTTATCGTATTTATTCCTTTGTTTCAGATCAAACTCTACCAAGACAAACAAAAATTGAAGAAATCCCTGAAAGAAAAGGAAGGAAAGGAAGGCGCAAAAGATGGGGCTGGGGGTGGCGGCGCCAGGAGTGCGCCGTCGAACGGTGGCTTCTTCCCCTGCACCTGCCCCGGATGCTTGCTCGGTCACAACATCTGGGCCGCAGCATCCAGGGCAGGTGCCTCTCCCTTGCCACAGTTCGTCGGCGCACTCCTAGCGCCGCCACACCCAGCCCCATCTGCCCCACCCCCTTCCACCTAGACCATAAATAATTTCATTCAATTTCGTTATATCTGCATATATCCCCTTAATCGCTAAATTTGAACTCTAAATCCTATTCAATTCTAATTCAGTCTTTAAAAGCGAAAATCTCAGATACTGACAACACGGTTCTTTTTGTTCTCTTACATGACTGAAAGAAACTTTGAGCCCCCTTTTGGCCAAATTCGTGTCTATTACTCATTTGTTCATGAGATCAAAAGTTTATGATACATCATAAAAAGGTAGTTTTTTCTACATGATCTTATTTTTGCTGAGCATTTTCTAAGCCTGGCTTGCAAAAATCGGCGCCAATTTTGGGTCCAACACTTTTCTCGCGGCTTTTAGTGAAGCTCGTCAAATGACAAAATTGCATTCACTGATATTTTCGTCACAGGTCGCACATCACTAACACTCAATACGTAGTGATCAATCTCTAAGAACTTCGCCATATCTCTTTATATATATATCCCTTTTTGTTCACTTACATGTGAAGATCTCAATAGATAAAGTTGTTGTTGTGAGTTGTTAGTTGTTGATAAAGTTGTGAGTTGTTTATTGTAATCAGCATGCGTAAAGACCAGGGTTGAACAAGAGGTCAGGCCATCACTTGAAAACGACTTCTTCTTTTTCCTCTACGCCTCGGAAACCTCAGAGTGCGACATTCTGGAGGACATCATCCTGTCCTAAAAAGATTAAACCACTTAAAAAGCTCAGAAAACTAGTGAAAAGTTTTTAAATGGAATCAGCATGCAAGAAAACTCTTTTACATACTTTTAAAGAATCCAAAAGTAATAAGGGGACTTCAAAACAGGTCAAAGGGGACTTCGTACGAAATTTTCAAGGTCAAGGGGGACTTCGTTTTGAAAATTTCCTGGTGCCAGCTCGTGCCGAGCCCTGTTCGACGTCTTAATCATTTTTGCTTCCCTATTGTAAAGAACAAAATATTGTGTACTCGAACTCTTTGTGACTACTTTGAAAGGCAATAATCACACTGATTGGTTTTGCTCTAATAATCAGCTCCGTAACCTCAAATTCCATATAAAACAGCAAGCGCTGTGCAAACTCATTCAAATGCATAGATGCAAGTTCCAAAAAAATTGTACATAGGCGACATACATTCTTCGCGGCAACTCCGCGAAATCAATGCAGTACTTCGTGCCTTTTTTCAATTTTCAAGGACGCAAAAGCTTGTCTCTTCATTGCTCGTCGTTCCTATTCGTGATACTTGCAAATTATAACAACCGTCATATTTCGAATAACAAATTTTTTGATGTTTATGGTGTACAATCAAGATTTTCGGACATTCTGATTTTCTGGAAATGCTACTGTAGTTGTATAGAGCCTTGGCAGCTCACGGCAGTGAGACATGATACGTTAGGATGTCCGAAAATCTTGATTTCAGTTTAAGATTTGTTGTAATTTACAGCAGTGCACTGAGAAGCGATTTTTTGCGATATATCTGAGCATTATTGCAACTTACAATTTGTAAGTTTGTAACAACATGATAACTAAATTTCGTACAGAAATTAATTACAGAAATAAGATTTCTGTACTTTTTATCCTATTTGTATAGTGACAGGCACACAGGCTGTCACATGTGATGAAAGATCCTACAAAATGTAAGGCAGCATCATTGCTTCTTGCTTATTCCAGGTACGCTTATGCTCACGATAAAAGGTTGCAATTCAACGATAACGAATAGTATTGCTTTCGGGAAAAACAGGACAATGTGAATTGCGTGGAACAACAGGACAATGTGAATTGCGTGGAGAGCGCGTATGCTTCAGATGCCTGTGAAGGAGCATTATTACACTTGTATAAGAATGTAGGAATGAAAGTAATGTTTAAGAGCAATGTTGATGAGATACCACAACGGATATAACAACTATTCATGATAGAAAGATTAGCGATCCTAAGGGCCGCTTACAGCTCTTCAAGGCAAATTCATTTGAATGCAAAAGAATAGTCACTCAAGTTACGAGCTTATAACTAATCAAAGTAGCATACAGATCTGTGCCCATAAATGGAAATACTGCCCTACAAGTAGCTTACAAATCATAACTGAGGGTAAAGTACCCCATGGGCCAGAGTGATATTACAAAAAAAAAGGACTGTCCTGCAGGCCGTTTTTAGAATGTTTACTACAAAAAAGATTACTGCCCTAAGAACCGCCTACAAACCGATGTTCCAAAAAGACAGCTCTGTGTATCGCTCATAGTGCGGTATCTTGCGTGACTGCCTTCCTCCCTTCTTCCTTCCCCCCCTCCTCCCAAAAAAGCGTCCTTCAAAAAAAATCCACTGGCCACTTGCACTTATTGAGGGAAGCATTGTCCTGTGGGCTGCTTACAAACCAGTAATAATTGCAAAAATACTAATCTGTATGCTTCCACAATCTGATACTAAAGGGAAACCTGACCTGGGACCGCTTACATATCCATTATTCTTTATGAGGATATAGTTGTTCTGTGTGCGTCTTATAGACCGAATTTGCAGTTGCAACTACACTAGCAACCCCCTACAAATCGATATCAAAAAGGTGTCCTACACCTATAGACCGGTATTTTGAAAAACTGCCTTATGGGCAGCAGTGCCTAACGAACCCCTACAAACCAATATTTCAAAAGGAAAATGACCCTAAGAACAGCCTACAAACCGTTTGCAAAAGAACAAGCATGGACCTTATATACCTACCCAACAACCGAATGCAAGAAGAAAATGTCATCAATCTGCCCTACCATCCACTGCGGATTCTGCCCTATGCACAGCCAGTAGATCGAAGGTTCAAGAAATTAGTGCCTTTCGAGCCGTTAAAAATCTATGAAATCTGTCCTAAGCGCTGCTTACAACCAGTAATTTGATAGATTATCTTCATGCTTTTGCCACAAACCTTTCACGAAAACCTCATAGTTAGGGTTGTTTCATACTGCTGCACTGACTGCAGCAGTCTGCACTGACCGCAGCAGACTGCAGCAGACTGCAGCTGACCGCACTGACCGCAACGACCGCAGCGGCTGAAGCCTGCAGGCGGAGAGGATAAATAGTTGTGGTTTAGACAAACAACAACAATATATACGTAAAAGCAAAAGACAACAAGGTTTAGAATGTTACAAAACAGGTATATGCAATGATAGGAAGAATTAGAACAAATACGAACATATCAAAGAAAACTATCGCCAAAATTTGATTGGGAAGAATTCTGATAGAACTTATGATCTTCTTATGCGCAAATCATGCTGTGTTGATAATTGCGGTTCTTTTAAGAAAAGAGGCTGCGACTGGTGCGGTCAGTGTGGTCAGCTGCAGTCAGCTGCAGTCTGCTGCAGTCTGCTGCAGTCTGCTGCAGTCAGTGCAGTCAGCTGCAGTCTGCTGCAGTCTGCTGCAGTCAGTGCGGCAGTCTGAAACAGCCCTTATCCAGGTAATGATGGGCCCGTAGTAAACCCCCATCAGGGCATCTCTCTTGAACCGGACCGGAGTTGATCTCATCGCGCCTCAGCACATTGCCAGGGGAGCGATTGATTTGGGGCAGATCACTGACTGGACATTCGCGTTTTCAAAATTGGAACGTTTCTGCCATTTGTGCATTAATAGTCAAATGGATAAGACCAATGCCTTTCAAACAGGAGTGCAGTGGTACGAGTGCGGCTAGCGACATCGTTTTTGCTACTTGGCCTGGCGATCTTTGACAGCGGCCGCTGTCGGAAAAATCGATGATGGCCGCTATCAGAGATTTCG